CAATTACACACAGCGTGGTCTGTAGAAATTAGAAATGTAGAAATTAAAAATGAAAAGCCGTATATACTATACCACCATCTGACTATTCTATGAACTCCGCGCTTCCTTATAACGAATCACAAATTGTCGACTGAATTTGAACCAACATTTATACACATTTACAAGGAATTACTGGGAAACACTATATATTTCTCAAGCAACGTGTTATTTTATCGAGAATTAGATTTAAAATCTGGCCATAGTCCATTCACGAACATTGATCATGTGACTGACCGTTCATACTCCAGACGTACAAGCTGAACTTATTTCGGGGTACAAGGTGGCAGAGACTGTGCACGACGCGTCGGAATTAGGTTAACGCAAGTAGTATGCATATTTTATTTAACACTTATTTGGTTTTAAGTCAAGGTAAAAGTACATGTGATTGTCAGAATATGGGTTAATAGTAGTTACCATGCACTGTATTTGCTGTTATCTTTTGTTGAAAATGAGGTTGCGTGCTTTAAAAAAATGTGTCTATGCTGAATGTTTCCAACCCACATAGTCAGTATGTTTTTTTGAGAAATAGTGAAATGCACAATCGTTTGGCCTGTTGAGGGCATCGATTATTATTAAAATTAAGGGTCCCATGTATCCGTAAAAGGGCCGTTATAGCTTCTCCCTACTGACGAGCAATGAGCGGACTACAAACATAAGACGCAGTAGTTGATCTACGATGATGATTTGAAAATGATATTGGTTACAGGACATTTGCTGAGAAGAGCCAAGAAGCTGCATTTTCCACATCTAGATGATGGGTCAAGAATTGAATACAAGCTATCTTGAAAACTAACTGCAAATGCTTCAAGGATATTAAAGTATACATTACTATGTAACACAATATAATTTATAAATACTAATAGTTTATTTGACGTTGAATGACAGTTTTGATATTTTCAATTCTGAGTAAATTAATCTCTTCATCGGTTTTAGTATTCTTTATATTGTTATATAATTGTTTTGTAACATATGTAAAGCAAATGTTTTATATATACATGTCTATGGCAATTATGTATATAGTCTTATAAGGATTCTTATTAATTATAGTACCGCAGTTAGTAAAATCAATTACCTTTTTACTTTCCTTTTATTTAGTGACAACACGTTATAAATTGTATCTATGCCAGAAAGAATTTAAACTTTGTTTGTTTGCAAAGGTATTTAACAAGCTCTGCCTTACAATACTCGTCATATTACTTTTATTGGACTGAGTCTAAGAATTGGTTGCTAACAAATTTGTATAATCAATGGCAGTTCAGTTGTATACATTTTTCATACTTCAATGTACTGACTGTCAACAGCACGAGGAACTGTTTTACATTTAACCATATATGAATTGCAATAAAGTATGTTTTATGTTAAAACTAACGGAGAATTAAGGATATTAACATTGAACCATTTTGCCAAATAATTGAAATAAAATAAAAAAGACCTATGCCCATGTTTTACCAATAGGAGAGATAAGCTGGTAAAATAATAATGGAACAAACTTATAGCTAAAATATGCTGCCTAAGATTGAAGCTGATTCGATAAAAATGTTAATGGCAACGGCAACAATCTAACAGTATGTTAACGATGGTATAACCAAAATTCTTACATATACAACACTTTTTCTCATGTCATTAAACATTTATTAGAAAAATGACTGACCGAGAAATTAAATATTGTCAATTGTGTCAAGATTCCATTCTTTCTACATACCAGGTCAACATTTAATATAGGAAAATTGTGTGAAAAGTTCACAATGAGA